AATATTAATGTTTGCCACTTTATCAGATTCCCTTACGATTACACCATACCCTTCTATTACATACTAACCGCCATTCTCGCCATGTTGCTGGAATTCTTCAGCATTAATGCCGCTGGTATTGTCGATGGCCTATTCGGCTGGTTTGTCTATAACATTTCGGCTCATTTGCAAATTATGCGCCTCAAGCTGGAACATCTTGTACAACTACAAATGGCTGACCCACAATTTCAAGCTGAATTCGCTGCGTTCGTCAACTATCACCGGGAAATCATTTCACTTACATTGGAACTGGATGCAGTTTATGCGCCAATCATTTTCTTGCATGTTACGCTTTCATCGCTGCCCATCTGCTTCCTCGCCTATCAATTTACTTATATAACGGATCAAGCTAATGTGCCCTTTATGGGTCTGCTGTTGGCTTCCATTGTGATACAGTTAATGATTTATTGTTTTGGTGGTGAGAAGGTGCAAAATGAGGTAGTTAATCCTTTAAGATGTGAATAAGTATTTATATTGTAATGGAGTAATTTTTATCGATATCTGGCATATTTTGCAGTGCGAGAAATTATGTGAAAGTATTTATTTGCTCATACCATGGCACAAGTTACCGCCAAAGCATTCGCGCTTATATCTCACACCATTGATACGCTCGCAACGTGCTTTAGTTTTGACGGGCTACTTCTTTACAGCAAACCGTAGTCTACTTGTATGGGTAAAAACTCTGTTGCAATATTCTACTTGCATATTAATCAGATTTTTTTTTAATTGAATTGCTCTACTCTACTTTATTCACAGATTTTTCGAACAGCTGGCTCATACACCGCAATGCTATTCGCACTGAAGGAAAAAGAAAAATAAATAAATAAAATATACTACAGGCATCTCAGAGCTGATCCGCTCCGTCCGTTGCGCGATAGTATGTACGCAACTAACAGCTGAATAAATTATTCGTTTTTCTATTGAGAGCGCCAACGTTGCTGCGAACGGTTTTCGATTTTATTAAAAAAACAATTTCGTTATTTCATTAACTCTTCTTTTGAACTTAATAAAACATGGTGATTTGCTAGTTATAAATTAATTTGATACTTATTTAGTTTTTCGCAGCGCAAACGAAAGCCGCATGGAGCATGATGTGGTGAAGCCATCTCTGCACCTGCTGCTCTGTGCCGCCTTTCTTTTTTGTGTGTCCAAGCACCTTGCGTCCCACTATGAGCTTTTGGGAATGGATATCAGTCGCTTAGGGAGCTCTCTCTATTTCTACCCTCCCCCTCACCATTGCGGCCTTTCTGTGTCTTTTTCTTTTCTCGTCTTTTGGTCACCACAATGGACATCATAGTCCAAGTGTGCTTGCACGTACGGAGGTAGCCCTATAACCTGACTTAGCCTCCGCGATTTGTATCAGCTTTTCTTCGTTTCGAACTCGCCAGGTGGTGGCAGCAAAATCCAAAAAGGGTTTTTACTAATGGCTTTCGGTCCTCCACGGAGAAAGTCAACAGCAACAAAACAAAACAAAAAAAGTAAGTGTGCCTGGGCCACACTGTAGAAGTGAAACTTACGTTAGTTATCTATCTATACATACACACATCTGCTTTTGCTTAAGGTTATATTTTTTCTCTTTTTTTTCTATCAATGTAGATCCCTACCTCTACCACTGTTCGTTTTAATAACATTCATGTTATTCTGTTTTTCCAATATCTTCATTTTTATCTTTATACTCTATCGATAACAAAATCGATTATAACCTCCATCAAAATATCGATAACAAAATCGATGACAAATTTGATAAAAATTTCAATAGCAACATCGATAAAACTATTGGTAGGTAAATCGATTAGAAAATCGATAAAAATGTCGATAATAAAATCGATAAATATCGATAACAAAATCGATATATATCTATAACAAAATCGATAAATATCGATAACAAAATCGATAAACATCGATAACAAAATCGATAAACATCGATAATAAAATCGATAAATATCGATAACACAATCGATAAATATCGATAACAAAATCGATAAATATCGATAACAAAATCGATAAATATCGCTAAAAAAGTCGATAAAAATCGATAACAAAATCGATAACAAAATCGATTAATATCGATAACAAAATCGGTAAATATCGATAAGAAAACCGATAAGAATATCGATTATTTTAGCGATAAGTCTCGAGAATCCCGAAAATCTCTAAATTCCCGAAATAGTTCCCAGATTGAGTCTGTGTGTCTCTCTCTATATCCTTTCTTCTTTAATTACCTTTATTTTAATCTTTCTTCCCCTATCTTCATCTTTACTTTTATCGGTATCCTCATCCTCCTCTATGTCCTTACTTTTATGTTTATCATTTTCTTCATCTACGTATTTCCCTTCACCTTTGCCCTTATATAAGTGAAGTGTTTAAATTTACCTTGGTCTTCATTTTTGCCTATATCTTTACGCTTCTTTGTTTTTGTTTTTATTGTTACCCTTGCCTTTATCCTTTTCTTTATCTATATACGTACTCACCTTTACTTTCATTCTTGTATTGGTATTTTTCTAAGTGTTATTCTTTAACCTTCTATTAGCAAATTTTTGTTAAATTAATACCATATGCATACACACCAGAAGCACTTAATTCAGCCCCAGCCATTTCCGTTGCACCATTCCCTTTGCACCATTTCCGTTTGCAATTTCCGTTGAATTTGCCAATTTACTCCCAACCAACCAACCGCCGCTAAAGAAGTTTCACTTCAAAAACAAAATGTGAGTGCCAAATATTTACTTTTTTTTTTATTACATAGTTCCTTGACATTCTCCACCAATTGCTCAATATATTTTATGCTAATACGTCAAAGCGCTATTAACCATTCTCCAAAGATTTAATAAAATTACACACTTTCGCCTAATATTTAGTTGGGCGTTAGCCAGACGTAATGAGTACAGTAATATAAATAGTCGTAACAGTATCAAGAAATAGGAAAGCAGATAGTTACAATTTTACAACCTCTACATTGAGTATTTTCCCCTTATAAGAGCAAACGAAATTTAATAATCTCGCGCATTTGAAACACTTTGAGCTGAAGAAAAAATGCACAAATATCTACGCATACAGCAAATCAGTTTTCTTTTACTTGGCATTGATATGTTTGCCACGCGAGATCGGCCTATTTTACGTGCACCCTATAGGTACGGTTGTTGGACTCTAGCGACTGCAACTATAACCATCCTAATGGGTGTCTACATTTACACCAGTGAACAGGATCAGGCAATCAAAGTGCTAACAGTCTTTCTACAAGGTGTGCTCTCGGTGCTCAAGAGTTTCATGTTTGTGACGAAGGGAAGACGGTTCATAGCACTCATTGAAAATTTGGAGTCTCTAGCGGAGGGTGGTATGTATGCAGTAGAAGGAATTTGCTTTTTAACACTGCTTGATAAACGGCTACTTGTTTCCAGCAAACGTGAAGGAACGTGCAGAATGGACACATGAAAATGATTGGCAGCAACGTATCGCGCGTGTATATTACAGCTGTTGCACGGCCACAGGCACCCTGTATTGCACAGTACCTGCCCTTATTCTCTTGTACAGTGTCTGCTTCAATGGCCATGCAGTACTCATTCTGCCCTTCGATGCAGCGTAAGCGAAAATTATTTTTTGTATCTATGTTTTGAAGCGTCCTAATTGTTGAGCGCTCCATAATTCACTTCTCCCCAACAGCTTTCCATTCGATGTGCAGCAGCCATTCTTCTACATCATTGCCTACATCTGGTGCATATCCTTCATAGTATATGCCATAGATGCCGTTGCTGCCATGGATTCGTTATTTTGTTGGTTTATCTTTAATACTTCTGCACACTTTCGCATTCTACAACATAAACTCGAAGCAGTTGCTGCCACTTTGGCCGAGGAAGATTACGTTAGCTTTCAACCAAATATCTCGGAATCCTTACGCTATCACCGGCACATAATTGAGTTAGCAGCAGAATTCGATGATCTCTATGCACCCATCGTTTTTATAGAAATCGCTGTTAGTTATCTAAAACTTTGCTTCAGCGCTTACAATCTAATCAATCTAGCTGATATATCTAGCTTTCCAGTGATTGTTGTGGGACTCGTCACCATCACATTTCAATTGTGTATTTACTGCTTTAGTGGTGAAAAAATCAAAAATGCGGTCAGACTCTAACAAATCTTTATAGTTCATTTCCACCAAGCCCTAACTGCAGTTATGCATTTGCACTTACCTGAGCTCTTAACTACAGTTAAGCTCTTGGTGGAAATAGGCTATTAATTAAGCTTTGATGGTTTTATTATGTACATATATACGAATAAATTTACATTTTTGTAGAGCTTACTAATTTCGGATCATATCTATTTGACTTTTCCTTGGGCGCGCATGCCTTCGTCTATGAGACGCTTACTGCTGTTGCCTCTAATGCGCGCACAACGTTCCACCAATCTAACGGGATATCTCTTTATTGTCGACCACAGCCTTCTGGTGTGGGTAAGTGGAATTCCAGAGTGGGCATTGTGTAATTTTGAAAATTTAATTTTTGTGAATTTGTTCTCAGATATTCAAAACTACTGGCTCAATTATTGGCTTTTTGTCCGCTACGAAAGAAAAAACTGTTGATGTAAACTAAGATAAAAATTTTCAAATCAAAAAATATGTATATTTGAAATGTACATTATTAATCATGATCGAAAAATATTAAAGTTTGGTCCAAAGCGAAAAGCTTTATGAAAATCAAACGCACTGATCTTCCAAGCTTTGATTTAAACACTTGATTTTTTTTACTTTAAGGAGATTTCTTCTTTTTTCTTACTTTCTTTTTTTTACTTTAAAAAATTATGTGTCAGTGTAGGTTGATTTTTCCGAAAGTATATTTTGATATCGATGGTCCTCTGCAATAACGACACAACCCAAAACTATAAAAAAAAAAAAACCCCTTACTACTGATGAGGGACTCAAGTCTATAAACCTTGTCTAATCCTTACAAAAGTAAGTAGTAAGGATTACTAAAGTAAGGATTAGACATGGATTAGAGAATCCAAAAAAAAACAAACATTAAGATAAAATTCCGGAAGACTCAGAAAATAATCTATTTCGAAAAGTCCCGAAAAAATCCAAAAACAAAAAACGAAAAATAGGAAAAATGTATAAAAAATCCCGAAAAATCTGAACTTTAATCTTTAAGTTATTTAGAAAAAATCCAAAATTTGTACAAACGTCTTATAAGTTTCGAAAATTTTTCAACAAAGTTAGGAAACTTCTGAAATCCATAAGTAAAAATTATGAAATATACCGTAAGTTAACACGAAAAACCCCGCAAAGCAACGAAAATATTCGCCAAAATTCCGAAAATTTCAAAAAACGTTCCTAGTTCAAAATTTCAAGAATCAAATCCTTTCTAAAAATTTGAAAAGCTATCAAGCAAATTTTTACTTTTTTCCTAAAAACAATTAAGA